TAGAAGTTAGTGAGGATCATTTGAAAATGAGAGATAAAAGAAAGCAAGAGAGAAAAGAAAGTGGAGAGAAAAAGGTTAGAAGAGAGCAAGAAAAAGAGAGAAAAAAAGAGAGACAAACACAAAATTTGTTTATAAAAAAAAAGAGGTGAAAAAGGCTATGCAATTGAAAAAGCCAATGCTCTTACTTTTGAGTAAAGAGAGTAATAATATCAAAGATGCAAGTCCTACTAACTCTCTTCCAAATGAGGTTTCTTCTATGTTGCAGGAATTTAAAGATGTTTTTCCTAAAGAGGTTCCTCATGGGTTACCACCTCTAAGAGGTATAGAACATCAAATTGATCTCATTCCAGGGGCTTCATTGCCTAACAGACCAGCCTATAGGAGTAACCCACAAGAGACTAAAGAGATTCAAAGACAAGTTGAAGACTTGATGCAAAAAGGATGGGTGCAAGAAAGCCTAAGTCCATGTGCAGTTCCAGTCATTCTAGTACCTAAGAAAGATGGAACTTGGAGGATGTGCACTGATTGTAGAGCCATCAATAACATCACGGTAAAGTATAGGCACCCCATTCCTAGATTGGATGATTTATTGGATGAATTGCATGGTGCTTGTGTCTTTTCTAAAATTGATTTGAAAAGTGGATACCATCAAATTAGGATTAGAGAAGGGGATGAATGGAAAACAACTTTTAAAACTAAATATGGGCTGTATGAATGGTTGGTTATGCCCTTTGGTTTAACTAATGAACCTAGTACCTTCATGAGATTAATGAATCATGTGTTAAGGGAATTTTTAGGGAAGTTTGTTGTAGTGTATTTTGATGATATTCTGATTTATAGCAAATCCTATGATGATCATCTTGTACATTTGAGGTATGTTGTGGAAGCACTAAGGCATGAGAAATTGTATGCTAACATGGAAAAATGTGTGTTTTGTATAGACCATGTTGTTTTTCTTGGTTTTGTTGTTAGCTCACAAGGAGTGCAAGTTGATCAAGAGAAGGTGAAATCTATTCAAGAGTGGCCAACTCCTAAGAATGTAAGTGAGGTGAGAAGCTTTCATGGCTTAGCTAGTTTCTATAGGAGATTTGTTAAAGATTTCAGTACCATAGCTGCACCCTTGAATGAAGTGATTAAAAGGCATGTTGGTTTTAAATGGGGTGAAAAACAAGAGAAAGCCTTTGCTGCCCTCAAAGATAAATTAACTCATGCACCTATTCTTGTATTGCCTAATTTTTCTAAATCTTTTGAGATTGAATGTGATGCATCTAATGTGGGGATATGGGCTGTTTTGATGCAAGAGGGGCATCCCATTGCCTATTTTAGTGAAAAACTGAATGGGGCTGCTCTTAATTATTCCACATATGATAAGGAATTGTATGCATTGGTAAGGGCTTTGCAAACATGGCAACACTATCTCTTGCCCAAAGAGTTTGTCATCAACAGTGACCATGAGTCCTTAAAGTACTTAAAAGGACAAGGCAAGCTTAACAAAAGGCATGCCAAATGGGTAGAGTTCTTGGAGCAGTTTCCCTATGTGATCAAGCACAAGAAAGGTAAGTCTAATGTAGTTGCAGATGCACTTTCAAGAAGGTATGCTTTGTTCTCTACTCTTGAAACTAAGTTCATTGGTTTTGATCATATTAAGGCATTGTATGAGCATGATCCAGACTTTGCACAAATCTATGAAACTTGTGTGGATGCTGCTCAAAATGGATTCTTTAGGCATAATGATTACTTGTTTAAAGAAAAGAGATTGTGTGTTCCTAAAGGTTCCATTAGGGAATTACTTGTGAAAGAGGCACATGCGGGGGGATTAATGGGACATTTTGGAATCCAAAAGACTCTAGACATGCTGCATGAACATTTTTATTGGCCACACATGAAGCGTGATGTACATAAATTGTGTGAAAGATGCATTGTATGTAAGCAATCTAAGTCTAAATTATTGCCTCATGGGTTGTATACTCCTTTACCTATTCCAGATTGCCCTTGGATTGATATTTCTATGGATTTTGTGTTAGGACTACCTCGGTCTAAAAATGGTAAAGATTCTATTTTTGTTGTGGTGGACAGGTTTTCTAAGATGGCAAATTTTATTCCGTGCAAAAAAGTTGATGATGCAATCCATATTGCTGATTTGTTTTTCAAGGAAGTGGTAAGACTCCATGGACTTCCAAGAAGCATTGTCTCTGATCGTCATACTAAATTCTTAAGCCATTTTTGGAGGACATTATGGAGAGAAGAGGATTACAATTTGAGGACAAATTCTTCTAAAGAAGGAGGGAATGATGAGGACATAGGAGGTGGCATGACCAAGACAACAAACTTGGAGGACATACAAGGTCTTGGAGGTCCAATGACAAGAGCAAAAGCTAAAAAGGCTAAAGAGGCTCTAAATCTCTTGGTGACCACTTTACTTGAGACAAGCCCAAGTCTAAAGGAAGAAGAGCCCAAAATGATACACTTAATTCAAATTGAAGACTTTGAAGAATAAGCCTCAATGGATATGCATGAAGGCTTTATTTTTACTTGGCCCAAATTCTGCACTTAATTTTATTTTTCTTATATTCAGTTAAACTTTTGTAATAAGGCTTATTAGGCTGGATTATTGGGTTGTCTATTTTCTTTTATGTGTAAACACTTTTAGGTTAAACTCAATATGGATATTGCCCACTACCATAGCTTTTGAAGGGGGAATTCAGAATAAAAAGATAACCTTTTTTTTTGTGAGAGACTAGCTTCTCTAGGGTTCTTTTGAGAATCTCAGAACTTATCAAGGTGCTAATACTTGTGGCGTTCATAGGCTTATCAATCTTTGGATTGTGGCGCCTTCCAGTTATCGTTTTGTGATTGTGTTCACAAATTCTTGTATCAAACCCTATCACCCAAACCTTCAATTTTCGTCCAAAATAGTCTCGGTTCATATCTCCTGATATACGCGTTGGTTTTCGGTGATTCTTGAGTCAAAGTCGCGATTCAGAAAGAGATCTTTCACCTCGATTTGGAAACGTCCGATTCTGAGGTCTGTAGCGTGAGATACGCTCTGTTCTTAACAGGTCGTGTTGGTGGATGAATTTGGGGTTAGAATTTCCATTCCTAGTAGATCCATTCCTCCATTCCTATTGGGGATCATATCATTTCCTACGCATGCAATAAACAATTATATGTTTACGGAGTATATATATATATGTTCCCTATAACATTTTGGAGGAGCAGAGGTGGAGAGGACTCAAACTTGTTGATGTATGAATACATGCCGATGGGAGTTTGGAAGAGTGGTTGCATGGTCCAAAGGAATTTACATAGTATATATGTTTTCTATAACATCTTTTGTTTTTATTTAATATTTTCTTTCAAAAAATATTTTTCGGGGCGCTGCCCTTGAACCCTCGCCACTAAATGTGTAGATATAAATAATATTTTCTGGATTCGACTACCCCCCATGTAAATTTCTGGTTCCGCCACTAAATTATAAGGGGTGAAAGGACATAAATTTATAATCCTTTAAAAGGATAAATAGTTTCCTATAAAAAAATTGAAAACAAAATAATAAACGGAATGACAAAAACCATAACTATAATACTTTAAAATCATGTCCAAAAGAAAAACGTTCTTGGACACAAAAATAAGACCGAATTATAACTCTACGGCCAAAAACAAATATGGTATAACTAAAATATTACGTTAATCCTATCCAAATTTTCTTACCCATTCTACCCAGCAATTAGATCTGCAGAAGGACCCGGACCCACATTCATTCATAACTAAGTATGAACATTGTAACACCCCGTTCCGGACCGGCATATTAACCATACTTATAATATTAAGCATAGTTATAATCACGGTAATTGAATTAAAATACGGTAATTTTTTTCTTTTATCAAATGACTTTTCATTTAAAACAACCGTATTCAAAACAATTTCCTTAACATGATCATAACAAAAAACATTTGCGGAATATAAATTCTAGTGCTTAAATATCACACAAAGAACATACAAAGAATGCTAAGTGGTTCCCATAAACCAACGAAGCAACGATACATTATTACGTGACGTACCAACCTTATATAGGTTCGGTTTTGTGAAAACTGCACTTGACTTGTTTATAATTAATTTCTCATCTTCTAGTATGTTAAACTAGACATTATAAGCTTCCCAATGAAGGATCATAAGATTAATTTGGACTTCTACAACTCCAGATATCCTTACCATAAGTTTACTGCTTAATATAACACCTCACATTTTTAAGTTTAAATATTAATATGTTAAATGAGAATTAAAGGGAAGGATTAGTGAAAATCCTGAAAAGAAGGTCAAAATACATAAAACGATAAATTGATAAATTGTTGTTAACCTTGTTACCAATTAATTTTACTTAGTATAAACTAAAGGATGTAGAGGAAATATAAACAAATGATGTATTTTGGTACCCAGTAGGTGATGAAATCCGTTGGCCTTGCTTCATTAGATGGTAAGGGAATTTAATAGTCTATAGAAACAAAAGAATAAAGTGGCTTGGCGGTGGAAAGCAATTTCTCAAACGGTGGTACAATAGCAAATGATAAGTGAAATCCTTAGTTGTTAAACAAAGTTAAGGTCCTTAGTGTTCATAACATCCAAGTCGGTTCTCTTTAGTCCCAAAACATCAAAGTAGGTAATCACTTTGTTCCTCCAAGCGGTGGAATTTAATAAGCCAAGGGTGCAACCTTGTGTCAAGCGTGGAACAACAAGGAAAGAAGAATAAAAAAAGAAAGTGAGGTCCTTGTGCCAAGCGTGGACCAAAAAGAAAGAAGTAAAAAACTTAAATCCTTGTCATGCTTAAATCCTTGTCATGCTTAAGTCCTTGTCTTGATTAAACAACAAAGTCGGTTCCCTTGTCTTCCCAATGGTGGAAATGAAAAGCAAATGGGAAAAGTAAAGCATGAGGTTGAGTCAAGGAAATATTAAACAAGAAAATTCTGATTGCACAAACCATCCAAGTCGCTTCCAAGAAAGTAAGCTCCTTAATTTTAATCAAATCGGTTCCTCCTCCTTACACCAACACATGACCACCCTTGTTTTCCTTCTTTCTTTTCTTACGGCCAAAGAGAATTCTAAGTGTTTTAAGATATCAAGTCGGTTCTCACTTGGTTGAGAGCATCAAGCAGCTGAATTGTTTAGGAGAGAAGGAGGTAAGTCCTAAGTAGTTCCCAATACATCTTATTCGATCCTTTCTTTCCCATTCAAAACATATGACCGCCTTGTGTTCTTTCTTCCCTTGTATACGATCAAGAAAAAAATCTGGTGAGAACAAGTTAATGAAGCAACTTGAATGAGCCTTAGTGTTAGTCGGTTGTCTCTTTGTGTTTTAGATATCAAGCAGCTCAATTTCTACTTCTCAACTGTGCCACCAAGGTGAACTCAAGCAGCTCAATTCTTTCCTTCCAAACCGTAACAACCAAGGGAGTTAAGAGGAGCTTGTGAGTATTTTCTTGTCCCTAAAATGCTTAGTTGCTTTGAGAAAAAGAATCCTTGTGTTCTTGTGGTCATAACCTTGTATTTTCTTCTTCTTGATAAGTGGTAAAAGATGAGTTTCCAAGCATATAACATGCGCACCAAGGGGCTGACTTTGGATGGAGTTTCATTTAAATATGTTATGGCTTGATGGTTGATGAATCTCTTGGATTGAAGTGCAAAAAGATGGTTATATTTGAAAGAAAATCACGGACTTTGAACTTGGCCAATTCGGCCAAGAGGAGAAAATTGTGTAAACAGTATGTTAATAAAATTCTAGGTGGAAGTGGATGTCGATTTCTATAAGTTAAGATGATGTTTTGATGTTTTTTTCGTATTCTGACAGAATTACCGCGTATTGACGATTCGTACATGGTTGTTGTAGGTTGCCGTACATTGATTTGAACCTCGAAATATGAGCTCGGTGGATTGCCCTTGGTCCTGAATCAAGTGGGATTGAGGTGAGTAATTGGAACCATGCTTGTAGAATTAGTAGCTTGCATGTGTTCATATGAACAGTAATTAATTGAGAATGTCCTCTGTGTAGGCATTTCTGTTGTATAACGAGCTCGAGAAATACTACTGTGGAGATAAGTGAATAGGCTTATTGAGGTAACCTCTTGGTGCTGGGGCTTGTTCCCCTTGTGTGTTCCACCATTCCGTTGAGGGGTGATGGTAGAAAATGTATATGAGTAATGTAGAATAACATGATCATGCATTTAGTATGTATGTTGGTACCCGAGTCTCTGGCCAGCAGACAATTTTGCCTTCGGGTGTTTCGGACTTCCACTGGATAGGTCTCCGAGAGGGAGTTCCAGTTGACCTAGGGTCGTGGTGTGTGATCCGGATAGGAGCACACTAGGAAGTCTCGGGTGTATGTGGATGGGAGGGGTACCTTGGTTGATGTTCTAGGAACACGCCTTGGATGAGACCCATAGGCTTATATGCCGAGGACGTTGCGTGGTGTTGGTAGCTACCATTCCAGCTTCGTCGTATTTTGTATCCTATGATCCCCATTTTCTCTAAATCCCTTGTTGTATCCTGTTTTAAAGAAGTTATTTTATATTATTTATATGCATCGAAGTGAGCCATTGGGCGGAGTATTCTCTAGAACCTCTGGGTTACTGAGATATATTCATATATCTCACCCCGTCTTGGGGGCTTTCTTTCAGGAGGTAGCAGTGGTGCAGGAGCAGCGGGCAAGAAGCCCGCAGGATGATTAGCTGGAGTATTTGCAGTATTTCGCATTTTGGTGGCCACTGGGCCTAGGCTAGACTTAGGGCATGAACATTCAATATGTATGTAGGATGAGATTCATTGTCATATTTGTTCATGTCATTTTGCCTAAGTCTAGTACATATATCATTTTGGGGTTTTTACATTATGTTGTATTTGAAGACTTTGAGTTGTAAAGTGTAATATGCATATGTAGATTGTAAACCGTACCCGAATACTTGATGTAATATGTAATCATGTAATATGATGGAAGGGAAATAGGCCTATTTTAGGAACATGATTATGTGTATGTTTAGAAGATGCATGCAGTTGGACTTTGATGATTGAAACGTATTAAGTATAAATCTAAGAAGCAATGTGATATGTATTATATAAGTAAAATAAATTGTGATGGGTTGTAAATGCCCCAAGGCATTGTTGGTCCTTGTGTGTGCCACCCACTGATTATTAGGTACTATTTGAGATCATAGATCACTGGTACAAATTTGGAAAACGTTGGAAAAACAAAGGAAACTCTGGCGAAATTTCTAGAAACTGATAGTTTTTAGGCGAATTTTGGGAGAGCATAATTCCCTCTACAGATGTCCGATTGGGACGTGCCATACTCCATTTTAAAGCTTGAGATGTCCCCTACATGGTGTTAAAATCTTAGAATTTTCTGGGTTGCACGAAACCCTGTAGAAGACTGTGAACACGGACTGTCCAGAACACTCCTGTGTAGGGGCTGTTTCTGGCAGTTTTTGGGAATTTTATTCCCGCTTTGTTTCTTAGTCAAATTAAGTGTATTATCGATATATCAAATTGAAGCTTGCGGTGTCTAGTTTATGTTATAAAAATTTGAGAGCATTTGGGTGAGTGGTTTCTCTGCATTAATTCATTTAGTGAAGGATGTTTGGAGCTGTTTTGGTGTTGGCTGGCAGCTTTGCTCGTCCAACTTAAAACGGCTATATCCGAAGCAAACGAGATCGAAATGACTCGTGTGATGGCTCATTGGGAAGGTATTTAAGTAAGAAAAAAAGATAACTAAATTTGAAGGTTTGGTTTTGTGCGGTGTGTCCGCAGGAAATTATTGACCGAACCAGGTTCAGACAGGTAGAAAACGTAAAATTGAGAAATTAGCTAAGTGGGTTTATGGGAACCCTTAGTGACTTGTATTAAGTAAAATAAGATATAAAAATAGTTTAAACAAGTATTCCGCAAGAGTTTACAGTTATGGTCACAAATTTTATTTATTACGATTTTTACTGTTTTAAAAAAATGCTCGCGTAATAAACGAAAAAAGTTTACTCGCATTTTTATAAATGAATTGCTGTGATTGTAACTGCGCTTAATATCATAATTAATGTTAACAATACCAGTGTACAACGGGCTGTTACACTTAAAACTGTCAACATACGTCAACAACGAGAACTGCACTGGTTTACAACATTGCAAACTATAGTAAAACCACTTACTTTTTTCTCTCAATTTTGGATATAAAATAGTTGACATCTAGACCTTCAATTTGATATATTATAAGCCTTGTTTCAATAAGAAACGAAGGAGTTATGAATTTTCTAAGTTATCAACTCTTGTCGTCAAATTCACTACAAACTGGGCAGCGAGCAAAACAGCAAAACTGCACCATGTTTTTACACTCATTGTTGTCTCATATTTTAGGACATTAAAGTTCACATCCTAATCTTCAAAATGACAGCTCACACATCTCATTTGACAAGGAATTGAGTGAGATATGACTTACCAAAGTCATACACACAACACTTACAAATTCTTATAAAATTTGACAACATCTCCACTGATTTTCCAACATCTAGGAATTCCACAATTCCTCTTATCAACAATACCTGCTTAACAAAATACTTATTCCATTTTAATCACATCCAAAAAGATGGCTCCGTGCCCTTTACTTTAAACTAGCACACCATATTTACATATATCCATTAATCTTTATAAAACATTTACATAAGCAACGTAGGCCTATCAAAATACTGTTTCTACTAGTTATCACATCAAAACATATATACAGAGATCTCACAAAACATACATCCATGCAACTAGCAGCTCCAAACATAGCTTTAGTCTTCAACAGTTGGTCTTTTACCTTTATCTTTCACTTTGGAAGTACCTAAAATATATATCCATAACGTGGGTGAGAACGAATCTCAATAAGCTCGGGTTATGAAGAAGTCTCTACCCACGAGTTCACTTCTTGCATTACATGTTAATTTCCAAACACAGACAAAAATCATATATTCTCATACAATACAATTAAGCATTTTAATTCATTCTTACTTTTCAATCAATATATATAACCTTGCAAATTATAATTCCATTAATTTTCTTCACAAACAAAACTTTCACAACATATTCTTCATAATTTGATTCTAGCAATTATATTCAACTGAATTTACCTTTTTCATAAAGACACATTTTACTTTAGAAATCAGAAACTCACATCAGAATTATCCATATCAAAATTAATCAGAATACACTCTATCACAATCATCAAAACACATCAGCAGAACATACAAACATCAAAATACTCAAAACACATTAGAATATTATATATCTCTGTGTTACAGAGTAATCAAAATCAACTGAAAATCATATACTTTCATAATCATATTTATTCTCAGAAAATCCTCTAGAGCTATCCTTTTTATGAAAAATCTCCACTTGTACGACCAATTTATTAAACCGAGAACATACCTCAGCTTCCTATTTACAAACTATTGTCCACACAACCTGCACTTTTTACGTCCACCTACTGTGTTAGCTTAAACTTTGATAAAATACAGTCAATCATCAATTGAAAATAAATAACACTATACACAACCAAATTACATTTACACATTAACTTAATTACCCACTTGGTAATCATTTTAATCTTCTTTTTCATTGACTTCCAATTAACTTTCAATTAACAGTTCATGCCATACCACACAAGTCTTAACCAAATTTCATACCTTAACATTAGACCCACATTTTTAGTTAGTTAATCACTAACTCAAGTAAATACTTATCACTTAATTAAGACTTAATATACCTTAACACCACTTGAAACTTATTTGATTTCACACAACCCTGAATTAAATTTAATAAACATACTATGATATTTAATTCATCATGGCCGAATTATATATCATCAAAATCATGCATTTTATGCATTCTTCTCTTTTAATTATTTGCTCAAATTGACATATCTTTCAACCTAATTCATAACCACTCGATATTATGTTAGTTTCATGTCACACATAAACTTTACGCAACACTTTAACTTAAATTCTTTCACACACAATTACATACACCTTATTAGTGTAGTTTCCTTTACAAATTATCATGTTTACAAACTTTACATGATTTGAAATTCAACTTCCATTTATAACACCTCGCATTTCTAAGTTTAAATATTAAAATATTAAATAAGAATTAAAGAGAAGGATTAGTGAAAAACCTGAAAGTACGGCCAAAATACAAAGAAAGGGCAAAATGGTAATTAGCCAACACGCAACCCTAGGAAGATAAAAATTGAGTAGAAGGTCTCAGATGGTAAAAATAACCCTGGAATTGGATTCAAAACGAAAAATTGAGTGGGTAGGCAAGTTTAAGAAAATTCAGTGAATAGTGTTTTTACCGGGTAAAAATATCGCGGTACAGTTGCACCGTAAAGCGTGCCGATTGAGTTCTGAGCTCTAGGTTTTAAATATGAGTTATAAATGGTTTATAAAACTAGGAAATATGATTTCTGATAAAATTTGATGGAAGTAAGTTAGTTTGGAGAAGCGCGCCAACGGCGCGCGCAACAGCTTAAAACTGTAGTATTTCCGAATAACTGGAAAGCTCAGGATTCATCTGATCAAGTGTAATTAAAGGACAATAGTTAATGTTAAAAATTAGAGTTTCTAATTAGTTTAGGAAATTATGAATGTTTAGTGGAATAGGAGGGAAATTCAAATAAGTTTGAAATCGCATGAGGTGGCGGTGGGACCCACCCCACTTAAGTCACTTAAGACACGTGTCCTTTATACTATTCATCATCAACTTCTCCTCCCTTTTCCAGCTCAAACTCACGCCTAGCCCCCCACCATGGCCATTCCTTGGAAAAATTTCATTTGCTCCTAACTTGGTCATTTAGGCACCAAATCATGAAAAAGTTTGACTTGAAATCCATTGCAAATCACCTTCTAAAGCCATTGGTGGTACTCTTGAACCTTGAAAACCATTAGATTTTGAGATATTCCTCCCTTTTGGCAGCGGCTCATTGTTGGAGATTTGTGTTCATGGAGCTTCTAGGTGCTCCAATGGTGGAGTATGTTTAGGAGGAGCCTTGTGTCTAGCTTTGGGGTGAGTTTCCTTGTATTCTAACAGTTTAATTTTTGGATTGATCTTATGAACCCTAAAGGGGGATTTTGTGATTGATGTGTTTAGAGAGCTCAATTGGAAAATATGTATTAGATGATAATGTCTTAGAATGATATGTTAGAGCTATAAATGCAATGAAAATTATTGGTGAAAAGTATGATTTTTAACTTAGAAAAATTGGAGAAGTGTCATGACTTTTGAGTTTTGAAATTGTTGTGAGGATTGTATAATGGGATTGTGGTATGGTTGTATGATGATATAATAGGATTCTATGAGGTGTGGAGTAGTTAGAATTGATGGAAATTCTTTGGGATTACACCATTGTGCAAATCGGCCATTAGACAAAAAGAGGGGATTTTATGTTGCTGAAATTGATTGGATGATGTATCTATGTTATATGGTAATTAGAAGGGTTGTGTGGTGGTTGGAAGGTTAGAGAATCAATGAAAAATAATTGATGGTGTTGAGAGTCATAAAGATATTAAGCAAAACGACGTTTAAAAGACGAAAATGAAAAACGGCACTTGGTATGGCCTTTTGGTAACCTAAGGATGCTTAATAAAATGAGAAAGAAAATTTAGAAATTTTTTTTGTAAAATAAGCGTTCAAAGGCCGAACCTACAAGGGTGTAGGGAGGTTTTTGACGTTTTTCGCGTTCTGATAGAATTGTCGTGTACTGATGATTCGTACATGGTTGTTGTAGGTTGCCGTACATTGATTTGAACCCCGAACCGTGAGTCGGTGGGTTGCCCTTGGTCCTGGACCAAG